TTAAACGATTAAAACTAATTTAGTACTATAACATACAGGGTCCTGCAAGAAAAAGACAAGACCCGCAAATCCGTGGCCACAGAACAGCAGAATATTAACGCAATGCACAAAGTCTCTCGCTAAGCGTTTTCCTCCTGTAGAAAAACATAAACACTTAATATGGCTTAATGTATTAAGATGCTGTTAAAATATCAAATGCAATATACAGTTTATTAATATAATGAATATGTATAGCCTAGTATTTTCCTCCCATACCGCAAAACGTGGCATAATGTAGCATAAAGGAATAAGATGATAAAGACCAAACTCAATATGCTCCTCTTCATTATTAAAATATACATAACTAATATGTACAGGCAAGCAGGTGAGCCCAGAATAAATTCAACACGCAAAGTTTCACGTTAAGCGTTTTCCCATATAGAATAAACTGTCTACAGCTCTTTTATATCATTCTCTTTGTCCATTAAGCTACATTAGCCTACGTGTTTTATTTATAATGATTTTCTATGGGAGGAAAATGTATAACGTTAACGCATTGCGTTCTGGGCTCGTCTGCTTGCCTGTACGGAGTAGATGCTTTTAATATCACTTAATGCATTTCATAATGCACATTCATATTTGTTGGTCTGTATATACTTTGAGTCAACAACAAGACATATAGGCTACTGAATTGTCTTTATAATCTTAGTCCGTTATTATGCCACATTAAGCGTTTTGCTGTATGGGAGGATAAGTGAAAGTTTGCGCATTGTGTTCATGGCCATCTGCTTGCCTTGTAGTACATCAAATAATAACTATATATCGAATTTGATCTTTTAATTGCACTTAATGTAGGCCTACATTAGACAAGTGGTAGAGCATTGCGATAGCAGCGCAAAAGGTCGTGGGTTTGATTCCCAGGGAACGCACATACTGGTAAAAAATTGTCTTTGGATAAAAGCGTCTGCTAAATGCATCAATTAAATTAAACAAAGCATAGCATGAAAGAACATAACAAAACATAAAAAACAACATGACTTAGCAAAACATGACACTATTTTTTATATTATGTTTGTGTTGTTTTATGTTGTTATGTTACTGTATTCTTTGTTTTGTTTTATTATTTTTAATAGTATGTTTTATGTTGTTTTATAGCAAAAATAACATGTTTAACGTGATGATGTTATGTTGTTATATAAGGTTTGTGTTATGTTGTTTTATAAAAAAACATAACATAGCAAAATAATGTCCCGTTTGTTATGTTTTCTTATGTTGTTTTATAGCATAACAAAATATAACATTAAACAAAACATAACATGTTACAGCTCGCTGTTATATTACAGTATTATACTGTATGTTTACATTTTGTTTTGCTAAGTTATGCTTTATAAGAAAAACAAAGCAAAGCAGTAAAACATAACATGTTAAGATGTATGTCGTTTTGATGTTGTGTTGTTTTTGTCATTATTTTGTTATGTTATGTTTTATAACAAAACATAACATGTTAAGTTATATGTTTTGATGCTATGTTGTTTTGTTATATTTTGTTATGTTTTATGTTGTTTTTACGTGATGCTGTTATGTTGTTATATCATGCTTTAAGTTATATTTATGTTGTTTTATAACCAAAAACATAACATAGCAAAACAATGTAATATTTGTTATGTTTTGTTATGTTGTTTTTAACATAAAAACTTAATAACATGTTATGTTTTATGTGATGCTGATATGTTTTGTTTAGTTATGTTATATTATGTTTTTGTTATGTTTTATTACAAAAAACATAACATAACAATGTTAAGTTTGTCATCTTTTAATATGTTGTCTTATAACATAAATACTTAACATAACAAAACAAAACAACATGTTATGCTTTACGTGATACTGTTATGTTTTGTTTAGTTATGTTATGTTATTAAAAAACATAGCATAGCAAAACATAATGTTATTTATTTACATAATGTTGTTTAATAACATAAAACAGAACAACATAACATGACATATCACATGTTATGCAGTTCTGTGGAGAGGGATTTTGGACCAGTGACCAACCGCCCTGTCGCTTATTATGGCTGGTTAGGACAAAAACTGATTTCACGAATTCATGAAAACCGAACCATCTGATCCCAGCAGTCTGTGTGTTCATGTGATGTACCTGTAGGTGTACGGCCCCATTGTAGTAAGATGAGGTTTGGCTTCTCCTTTCAGGAACTTGTCAGGGTTTGTGACGTTGAAGATGAAGAACTCCATGTAGACCGGAGGCGGTGGATTCTTCCACGTGGCGAAAATTTTACTGCCTTCCGTCAGCGTGATCTCCTGAACGCACAGAACACAACAGGGATATTTTACATTGCAATCAAACATTTTGTGGCTGTAGTTCATGTCCATAAACTTTGAGGTCATTCGCTGTCAAACTGATTTTTCGAAGCTGTAAATAAAATGAAGTTATAATTATTTGTGCAAATGAAAACTATCTTTCAAAATAAACTTTTACATTAATGTCATCATGCTCAGAATCGCAGCTGACCTCGCTTCTGCTTCATTCATCACACTGGAAATGGAAAAGGTCAAGTCTTTAGGTCATTCCGTGTCACCTGAGGTCACGACCTACTGACCTACAGCGCTACATTGTTGACCGCTCAAATGTAACATTTCTAAATTCCCCAAATGCTGATAAAATTCATTTGTTCTGGCTCAGTCGGGTCATTAGAAGTTCAGCCAGCAGCAGAAACATGCAGGAGTCGGGAAGTATTACGAGAGCATGAAAGACTATTCAATAAGCATCTGAATCCACACTGGGTTAAATGCTTCTCCCAGATAATCTCTAGCGCCGGCGCCGCGTTTGGGGTGATTGGACCTTTGAGGTGTGTTTGAGACATCGATCATGGAGGAGGACAGAGATCACAAACAGCACAGCTTTAACTAGGGAATCAGCACTATCATCAGAGCCAGATGTCCGACGGTCAGCAGGAATCTGCTTCACTCTGCAACTCATTCTGACCGACAGCCAGCCGTTCAGATAGAAAGAGACTCGATGAAGACGAGTTGTTCCTCAGAGGAGTCAGTGTCGCCGACTTAAACATGACTTTGTTTCGACTGAGGATGGAGGAGGATCGGATCATGTGATCGCTGCTCTTCTGAGGAGGAACCAGTTAAAATGCTTATCTCCTCACTTCAACAGGAACTCTAACTGAAGACGGTTAAGCACTGACAGTTTACTAACCTAATGGTGTTAGCAGCCGTTATTCACTTATAGGAATAGGGACAATTCTTAGAAAACATAACTGATACAAGACAGCTTTAGTAACTGTGACTCAACTATTTAACACTTTATAATAACTTTACACACGCACACACACACACACATATATATAGAAGCAACAATAATTCTAATCATTCTTATTTAATGCATTTCATTTCTATTATTATTAGTTTAATTAAGTATTCCATATATATATATTTATATATATATATAAAACGTATTTATAATAATAATACTATTATTAGTAGTAGTAGTAGTAGTAGTAGTAGTAGTAGAAATAATAATAAAATACATTAAATATAAATATAAACACATTAAATTATATATATTTTATATATCTTTTCATATTATTGTTTCAATTAAATATTTCATAGATGTTATAATATATTTATATATAATTTAATGTATTTAATTTATTATTATCATTAAAAGGGTCAAGTGTTAGATTAAATATATATTATATATATATATATATATTAGATATATATTTAATGTATTTATAATACTACTACTACTAATAAAAACATGAAAAATAAATATAAATGCATTAAATTATATATAAATACATTTATATTAATTACATATATTACTTAACATAACATACTTGACAATTTCAAAACACATAATACAATCTTTTACTCTCATATAATAAGTGTAAACCTATCATGTTTGTTTCTGAATTAAGGGAATTAAAGTGCTACAGTGAATTAAACAGAATGTTCAGATAAAAGTAAATGACCTGCCATAAACCGTACAGAATGACCCATAATGCCTCAGTGTGAATGAATCACTGTTACTGAACGCTCTGATTCATCAGCATGTAACGGAGCAGCTCGTGTGGTTGATATGGGTTCGTCCAGTGGCTGATACTGAGATCAAGAGAGATTCTGACTGATATAATGCAGATATATACTAACTTTCTGTTAATCAGGCACAGTTATGGGCTCATAATCGGTCTGTTATTGGTCTACATCAGTGTTAATGACGGTCACTGCATCTGAAGCACACTTAACTTTCTAACCTTTCAGCAAAACTGCATTAAGAATCTCAAAAACACAATGAGTACAATGAGTTCTAAAACTAACACACACACACGAGGCTTGGACTGAATGACCCTCATTAACACACACACACCACACACACACAGATCACATGACCATCAGCTCACACTCATTCCTCGAATCAACTGCCGCAACTTTTCTTTTCTTCTCGTCTTTTCTCATGTAAAAATCCAGCAGCCACCAGCCAAGACGTCTAGAAAAAACACTGAAGTAGAACAATGAGGTGTTTATATCTAAGCTTCACTTGCATTTAAGACTCTTTTAATGGCCAAAATACTATTTATATTATAAATAGTCAAACTACAGCTACACAAGCCAAAGAATCATACAAAAATTCATACACACTACATTCAGAAATTTGGAATAATAATAATAATGTTTTGTGTCTTCTGTTCACCAAGGCTGCATTTATATGATCAAAAATACAGTAAAAATTGTGAAATAATATTAGAATTTAAAATAGCTGTTTTCTATGTGAATCTCTGTTAAACTGTAATTTATTTCTGTGATGCGCAGCTGAATTTTCAGCATCATTACTCCAGTCTTCAGTGTCACATGATCTTCAGAAATCATTCTAATATGCTGATTTGCTGCTCAAGAAACATTTCTGATTATTATCAATGTTGAAAACAGTCGTGCTGCACAATATTTGTGTGGAGACGGTGATACTTTTTATTTTTCAGGATTCACAGATGAATAGAAAGTTCAAAAGAACAGCATTTATCTGAAACATTGTAACATTTCAAATGCACTTCTGATCATTTGAATACATCCTTGATGAACAAAAGCATTAATTTCTTTGAACGGTAGTGTAAATTGGGTTCTGGAAAAAAGCAGAACAGAAAAACGGCATTTAATCTAACCGTATAATCGTGTGTAGTTAGCGAAATAAACAGAAAAGCCTTCAGATCTTCGGAGGCTGATGTCAACTAAAGATACAGCTTAGCAAACCGCACTAACTAGGATGTGTGTGTTTTCTTTTCTCAGACTCGAACGGCTGATTTTCTCCTCCTCGGGCCTGTGTTTTCATGTGTTTGATTATCTGGAGAACTGAAGGAATGAGCTCAGAATATATATATTAGATATATATTTAATGTATTTATAATACTACTACTACTAATAAAAACATGAAAAATAAATATAAATGCATTAAATTATATATAAATACATTTATATTAATTACATATATTACTTAACATAACATACTTGACAATTTCAAAACACATAATACAATCTTTTACTCTCATATAATAAGTGTAAACCTATCATGTTTGTTTCTGAATTAAGGGAATTAAAGTGCTACAGTGAATTAAACAGAATGTTCAGATAAAAGTAAATGACCTGCCATAAACCGTACAGAATGACCCATAATGCCTCAGTGTGAATGAATCACTGTTACTGAACGCTCTGATTCATCAGCATGTAACGGAGCAGCTCGTGTGGTTGATATGGGTTCGTCCAGTGGCTGATACTGAGATCAAGAGAGATTCTGACTGATATAATGCAGATATATACTAACTTTCTGTTAATCAGGCACAGTTATGGGCTCATAATCGGTCTGTTATTGGTCTACATCAGTGTTAATGACGGTCACTGCATCTGAAGCACACTTAACTTTCTAACCTTTCAGCAAAACTGCATTAAGAATCTCAAAAACACAATGAGTTTCTTCCCCACTAAAACTAACACACACACACGAGGCTTGGACTGAATGACCCTCATTAACACACACACACACACACCTCACAGATCACATGACCATCAGCTCACACTCATTCCTCGAATCAACTGCCGCAACTTTTCTTTTCTTCTCGTCTTTTCTCATGTAAAAATCCAGCAGCCACCAGCCAAGACGTCTAGAAAAAACACTGAAGTAGAACAATGAGGTGTTTATATCTAAGCTTCACTTGCATTTAAGACTCTTTTAATGGCCAAAATACTATTTATATTATAAATAGTCAAACTACAGCTACACAAGCCAAAGAATCATACAAAAATTCATACACACTACATTCAGAAATTTGGAATAATAATAATAATGTTTTGTGTCTTCTGTTCACCAAGGCTGCATTTATATGATCAAAAATACAGTAAAAATTGTGAAATAATATTAGAATTTAAAATAGCTGTTTTCTATGTGAATCTCTGTTAAACTGTAATTTATTTCTGTGATGCGCAGCTGAATTTTCAGCATCATTACTCCAGTCTTCAGTGTCACATGATCTTCAGAAATCATTCTAATATGCTGATTTGCTGCTCAAGAAACATTTCTGATTATTATCAATGTTGAAAACAGTCGTGCTGCACAATATTTGTGTGGAGACGGTGATACTTTTTATTTTTCAGGATTCACAGATGAATAGAAAGTTCAAAAGAACAGCATTTATCTGAAACATTGTAACATTTCAAATGCACTTCTGATCATTTGAATACATCCTTGATGAACAAAAGCATTAATTTCTTTGAACGGTAGTGTAAATTGGGTTCTGGAAAAAAGCAGAACAGAAAAACGGCATTTAATCTAACCGTATAATCGTGTGTAGTTAGCGAAATAAACAGAAAAGCCTTCAGATCTTCGGAGGCTGATGTCAACTAAAGATACAGCTTAGCAAACCGCACTAACTAGGATGTGTGTGTTTTCTTTTCTCAGACTCGAACGGCTGATTTTCTCCTCCTCGGGCCTGTGTTTTCATGTGTTTGATTATCTGGAGAACTGAAGGAATGAGCTCAGACACAAACCAGCGTTAAACAGACTGTGTGCCGCAGTACTAGATGCCCTGATGGCCAAATATTCTGCATATTAGTCTGACAATAAATTCATAGCTTTTCTGACTAAATCTGCAGCTCTAAAACTACAAGCAAATGCTGATCTCAGTGTAAGACAGTGTTATTTGATATACCGTTATAGTCTTTGCTAATATTTAGAATTTTTCATTAAATCTTTTTTTTTTTTATATTTTCTGTTTTCACTTTCATATATCTTCAAGTGTTCGTTCAGTTGTGTTTTTGATAAAAATGTAACTGTATAGTTTTTATTCATTTTTAGTTATTATTTTTTAGTTATTTTAGTACTTTAGTACTTTTCGTTTAAACTAAACAAACATGAAGCCTTGCAAACTAGCTGAAATAAATATTAATATAGATTATGAAATAATAAGTAAATGAATAAATATAAATATATATTTAAATAAAATGGAT